ATACATATATGGTCAGTAAGCAAAAAAAAAAAAAGATACTCATTAGTCATCAAGGAAACATAAACCAAAATACCACTTCACATCCCCTAGGATGACTGTAATGAAACAAATCTGCTAAAAAGAAGTTGTGGTTAGGAAGTAGAGAAACTAGAACCCTCAGCCATTTCTGGTAGAAATCTAAAATATTGCAGTCACTATGGAAAGCTGCTCAAAAAATTAAATGGTTACTAAAGGACCCAGCCAAGTCTACTGCTAAGTCTACACTCAAAAGACTATAACCATATGTAACTTGTAAATATGTATATACAAACTTACACTTGAATGTTCATAGAAACATTAACAAAATCCAAAACCTGGAAAAAATCCAAACATCTAATGCATGCATAAATCAACCGGTACATGAATAAGTGATATATTCAGAAAAAGGATTATTCATCAATTAAAAGGAATGATACATAGAACACTGAAAACATGGGCTAAGTTTGACCATGTTCCATTTACACCTGTTGACTTTCAGATGAGAGAGAACAGAGGAAGGGCTGGCTGCTCTGAAGTTTAGAAAGATGTGTAAACTCCTGAACTCATGGGCAGTGATCTAGCCCCCAGGGGTTAGGATTTGAGTGAAGCAGCCAGCTGGTCTGAAGTGCAGGGCGGTGTGTGTGAACTCCCAAACTTGCAGGTAGTACCAATTTGACCCAAATTGGATGGCTAACTAACCAGAACTTGACCAGATAAAGGTGTTTAATATTGTGAGCAGGTGCAAATTGTTACAATTTGATAAATTATACATTTGTTTATGGATGCAGGTGCCCAAAATTCCAACCAGAATGACAGGGTTTCTAAAGAGCTTAAACCACTGACTTTGCAATTCAAACTGACCTTGCAGCCAGTGCATTAACACACAGCACCACACCAGGACTCCAACTGGGTTGATAGGGACAGGCAATTTACACACTGGCTATCAAAAATGGGGCTGGGGTGAGGGTTACAAAGGCATGAAGTGGCTGGCTTGCAAGTTTTCATGAGTGTGCTTAGTTTCAGAATGAGGGGGTAAGGTAGACTCCCCATTAAATAATTCCCCTCTTTTTCAGATGAATCTGTTAAAGGGGGATAAAGGAAGATGGCAATAGGATTTTATGGTTCAATTGTGAACAGGTGTTATCAGGATTAATTCTGATTGTCACAACTATAACCGTAGAAGATATGTAACTAAAAGGGGGAGTAGTTAATCTTTCATTTCAGGAACGGAGGACCCCAGGACCATCAAGAAGGAAGAACATAAGTGGAGCATGAGATTCTACCCAGAAAAGAAAAAGTGACAGCAGAGAGAGTGGCAGAGACAATGGCATGGAGAGACAGAGCAGCTGAGGACTCTAGGCCCATGGACTCAGAAAGGCCTAGAGTGTGCCTACAGACAGGAGGCTGGTTGGCAAATGTGCCCTTTGGACATTTAATATATATTTTTGGTGCTATATGTGTACATGAAGTATTTTTGCTTTGTTCATTTGTGAAAAATAAAATGTAAAAGGGAAGCCACTGGTGGAAGCAGGACAACTGTTGTTATAGGAAGAAGAGTACAATCACTGAGATGAGACAAAACATATGGTTGGTTGAAAGTAAGACTGATGATCTTGTCTGTTACCTCCACTCAATTCACAATAAAATGATTTTTTTAATTATGCCATGTGAAGAAGCTAGTCACAAAAGACCACATACTCTATGTAACATTACATACAATTTCCATAACACAGAAATCAATGCATCTATAGACACAGGAAGATTAGTGATTGCCAAAGCATAGG